CCAGCCCAACTAGCACCAGACGCCACTGCAGCGCACAGCCTGTGGTGAGGCCCTGCAGCCACAGGAGTGCACACCGGCAGTCAGGGGCCCCACAGCTGCTTGTGAGCTCGAAGGTGGCCCAACCCTGGCGACCCTGGCCCTTGCCCCTACATGTGTCCGCAACCGGCCCTGCCACCGCACCAGCACCTGCAGCTGGCCCTGCAGCCCAGTGTGTGCGCATTGCCAGCTCCCACCACCACCACTGCCTGCCCTGGTCCCTAGCCACTGGAGGTGCCACTGAGGACCCCAACAGTCCCTGCAGCCACTGTGGATCCCCTGCAGTGCTCTCCAGGGACCACATGGTTGTTGACACTTTGGCCTGAGCTGTCAAGATATCAAGTCTCCCTGGATTTGGAGCCAACAGAAACCCCACACTTCGTGCTCGGCACCACTAGACCCAGGCCACAGCGCACTCCAGTGTGCATCCATCCACAGGTGAAGGTCTCTCCTTACAGGAGCCAGTCCATGAAACTGGAAGGAGGCAATTGCTTCTTCAAATGCACAGACATCCACACAAGGCTACGGGGATCGTGAAGAACCGGGGAAACAGCACCACCAAAGAAACAGTAAACCTCCAGTAACTGACCGCAAAGAAATGGCGATACACGAGCTGCCTGACAAAGAACTCAGAGTAATTCTTCTGAAGATGCTCCAAGAGCCTCAAGAGAACACAGATAAATAATGTAACCAAGTTGGGAAAACAAAATGAGGAGCTCAACAAAGAGACAGAGAACTTTAAAAAGGACCAAATGGAAATTTTAATTAAAAAAAAACCACACACACACCAAACAAATTCACACCAGTCTGAGGTCATCTAGGTGAATTCCTGCTTGCAAACCAGGAGGTGAAGAGCTAAAATTCACAACAAAGCAAAGACGACTTCAGTTTTGTTGACTGCATTTTCCTATGGGTACCTTATCCTGTAACACACACGGTTGTGGAGACTGGATTCAGAACTTGTTAATCAACTAGAAAACTTTTCCATTTCAACAGCCTGCAAACCTTCAAGAAGTCCTGAGAGACCGCCCGCCGGAAATGCTCAGGGCTGCCCGGGAAGTGCACGGAGGAGGCACCAGGCGGTGCTCTGGGTTGAGACCCATAAAAGCTGCACATCACGAGGCAGCTTGCAAAAAGCCCAACACTCCCTGCGGCAGAGGTTGTGACTCGCTGGGATCCGCTGCCGCATTCCTTGGTGCTCATCCCCTGGGGGAGAAAGGTGAACTGAGCTAACGAAGGCCAAACCCTTTCCTGAGTCAAATTCACAAGCCAGGGTCTTGACACAACAAAAAATTCATTTGGCTTAGATTCAGTTTACAGAATATTTGGGTGGTTGTATCTGATTCTGGTCTTATAATTTTAAAAACTGTTTAGGCCCATTTCTGCTTCCTTATCACTTCAGGGGATGGTGTTTTCCAGTTCTTCTTAAGAATGCTAGATGTCATTCCTCAGCCATTCCACTGGGCCAGCTGTCCTACAACCATTTAGAAGATTTTCGTGAAAATGAGCTAAAGATCCCCACAAATCTCTGAGCAGAGAAGGGAGCAACAAAACTACAGAACTGTTCCATTTTGGGGCCAGAGAAGAATTTATTCCAATGACAGTCACAAAGCCATGTGGTTCCTTCACCAAGAATCCTAAAATCAAGCCATGGGTAATCCTGGGCAGAATCTTACTGAGATGGATTTAACT